CCCCCCCCCCCCCCCCCAAAAAAAAAAAAAAAAAGGGCACAGAATGCAAGAGACATATCCAAAACCAGGCTGTACTCAAGGACTATGGTAGAGTTAAGAACACAACCCACATCTCCGAAGCCAGTGACTTAGGGAAAATATCTAGGGAAAATATGTTGGAAAAGAGTGAACTACTGGCTTCAAGCACAGTAAGTTAATTTAAAAAAAACACCCATAAATAAAAATTAAGAAATTGGAAAACTAGCTTTCTTATGTATGAGAAATGCCTGTAAAGAAAACATGACTGCTATAGAAAGCAGTTTCTTARAGCCTAAGAAATCCAGGCAAAGAAGGCTTTGTACGAGCAGATGAAGAGGAAAGAGCCAGCAGTAGCAACAAGCACTATGTCCAAATATTAATAGTGGTATTTTGAGCTAGCATCTTGCAGATGCTGTCCATAAAGCTAGGCAACTGGTTATGACACTGGACAACTATGGAGGACTCAAGTGGCATGCATATTAAGAGAGGAAAGTTTCTATTTTTCCATTCATGTTTGTACACAAGACAAACTAGATGTCCTACAGCCTTTCAGTATCAAACAACAGAGAACAGAGAAGTCCTTGTGTGGCTTTCCAAGTATATTGCTTTGCCAGTGTGATTAGAGGAACAGCTAAAAGTAGCAGATGTGAAATATCCTGTGTGGGACAGACCTCTCTCTGTCAGCACAGACGGGCACTTGTTAAGAATTTCCACAAGCATCTGCCTAGCTGTATACTAGGAAAGTGGATTTTACAAATAGAGATTATAACTTATTTCCTCTGTGTTATTTGATATGATACTTCTATTACTGTTCAGCTGTACAACGGAACGTAACTATTTCATGTATTTAGCACATCTCTGATGAGTGGTACCTACAATGTGGAGGAAACTGCAGGATAATAAACCAAGCCACATGTCTAAATAATGGAAGATCTCACTCAGCCTCTAGGCCATTTGCAGTGTCTCACACTGCTGCCACACTGGTGACAACAATGCTGGCTTAATGTACAGGAAAAATATTACTTTAGTCATCCAAGATGGGTGTTCAGGCAGGAATACTGAAATCACTGTTTGACAGACTAGAGTAAGAGATCCAAACTCCTGCAGCTGCTGTACAGCTCTAGGAGGTGCAGAGCCTCTCACAGCAAAACTCAAGGACAGCTAATGGAACAGACAAATTTCCATCTAATGGTGGAACAAGTGACAACAAGGGCATAGTTTTCACACTATCAGAAAGAAAAAGATCTTCTAGGTGACTCAAAGGGGATCACAGATTATTTTATTTTTTCACTCTGATTATGCTTAAGTTCTAGTGAACTGATGTTCCTTCCTATTAATCAGGATAAAATTTTCCACAAATAAAATATGAGTGCCCATGAAGTCTGCAGCTTTACTGGTTCAGCTCTTTCTTCAATTATTGCTAGAAATTCAATAGAGATTAAAAAAAGAAAGATGACAACACAGAAGGATTAAAACAGAGCTTGGCATGGATATTAAGGATATTATAAATCTAGACATAAATCTAGATCCTCTTTGCAACAAGAAATTGCTAAAAATGGTTACAGTTAAAATTCTAGGCACAGTTCCAGCCAGTTCCAACTGGTAACATGTTTATTTGAAGGCAGGTCTGAGGCAGCTAGCAAGCTGGAGCTCACCTCAGATTTGCAAGGCCCACATGCAGTGGTGAACATCACTCCACTGCAGAAGTTCTGTAGACCATTTGCAAACCTACAGCTTTCCACACTTCACTGAAA